TGTCATTTTCAATCCTTCCACTTGAATTAGCTCGCACCTCTTAACAGGTGTTGTATTGGGTCGACGTCTTACATGGCCAGCCCACCTAAGATTACTCTCTCTCATCTTATTGCCTATTGGTGTCACACCTAAAATTTCCCCAATGGATTCGTTTAAGATTCTATCCCTTCTTGTCTTGCCACTCATCCATCTCAACATCTTTATCTCGAATACACTCATTTTTTGAGTATATTTTGTTTTTTTTGCTCAACATTTCACCCCATAGAGCAAAGCTGGTCTTACAATTGTTTTATAGAATTTACCCTTCAGCTTCATTGGTATGCGACGATTACATAAACTTCCAATTACACATCTCCACTTCACCTACGCCGCTCTAATTCTATATACGAGGGCTTTCTCAATCTTTCTATTTACTTGGATTATCGACTCAATGTATCAAAAGTGCGGTCTTTTTTGTATTTCCTAGCCGTCAATCTTTACTACTTCCTTGTCTCTACTCTTATTATTACTAAACTTGCATTCTTTGTACCCTGTCTTAGTTCGACGAATTTTAAAACTTTTGGATTCTAGAGCATCCTTCCAAAGTTCTAAGTTTGTGTTGCTATCGTTTCAGGTTTTCTCGATCAAAACTATGTCATGTGCGCATAACATGCATCATGGTACCTCATCATGTTTGTACCTAGCTAAGTCGTCTATAATTAAGATAAAGAGGTACAGACTCAATGTTGACCCTTGATGTAGACTTATTGTCACTAAAAACTCTCTCGTCTCTCCACTAGTTGGTCGCACATTAGTTAGCACTCCATCATACATATCTCTTACCAAGTTAATGTAGTGTTCGGAGATTCATTTATTTTCCAACACCCTCCAAACTAAATCTCGAGGTACTCTATCATAAGCTTTCCCTAGGTCAATAAAGAGCATGTAGATGTCTTGTTCCTTCACCTTAAACTTCTCAATCAGTTGCCTACGTAAGAACAGAGCCTCTGTTGTTGACCTTCCTGGCATGAAACCAAATTGGTTTTCGGATATACTCTTTTCATGCTTTAGCCGCTGCTAAATCATTTTCTCCCAGAGCTTCATCTTATAGCTCATAGGCTTGATCCATCGATAGTTCACATTCTGTATGTCTCATTTGTTCTTGTAAATATGCATCACAATACTTTTCCTCCATTTATCTTGTATGTTCTTGTTCTCATCACTTTGTTGAACAACTTTGTCAGCCAGTCAATGCTAATCTTTCCCATGCACTTCCAAACTTCTCTTGGGAAACCATCTTGTCCTAAACTTTATTCTTTTCAAGGCTTCTTTCACGTCTGACATCCTACTCCTACGAATGTATCAATGAACTCCACTCTCATTTATACCAACAATTCCTTTTATCTCTATGTTCCCATTGTGTTTGTCATTAAATAAAATTTTAAAATAAACTCTCTAGCTTTCGTTGACATTGTCATCCTTCACCAAGACCCTTTGATCTTCATTCTTAATGCATTTAATATGGTTTCGATTCTTACACGTTTTCTCTCTTATTTTTGCTAATTTAAAAATATATGTTTTACCTTCTCTTGTTTCTAGTTTATTGTATAAATTATCATATACGTTAATTTTCACTTTACTTACTATTTGTTTAGTGTTTTTCTTAGCATTTTTATATTCTTCTAAGCATTGATTATTTCTATTGCACTGCCAAGTTTTATAATATGACTGTTTTTTACTATTGGCCTTCTGAACCTCATCACTCTACCACCAAGTTTCCTTATCAGAATATCTTTTTCCTCTAAATTTTCCTAAAACTTCTTTTGCCACTTTCTTGATACAATCAACTATCTCATTCCAATTACATTGACATCATGTTCAAAGTTTTATTTTCTTTCTTCAACTAATTTATTTTTAAATAAGTCTATTTTCTCATTTTTTAAATTCCCCACCTTTGTTCTTGGGCACCAATTACTTTCACCCCTTCTCTTCTATGTCTTTATCCAGATGTCCATAACCACGAACCTATGTTGGGTAGTCAAACCCTCTCTTAGGATATGATTGATCTACCTTCTTAAGTAGGAAAAAGTCTATTTTACTTTTATGTGATCCACTTTTATAGGTTATCAAATGTTCATCTCACTTTTAAAAGTAAGTGTTTGATATTGCTAGGTCATAGGCCATATCAAAATCTAAAATAGTCTTACCCATCTCATTTCTTTCCCCAAACCTATATCCCCCCATGTACCACTTCATACAATCTACTATCATTCCCTATATGGATATTTAAGTCCCCTCCTAAAAAGGTCCTCCCTCCATTTAGTATGTCGTGGACTATTCTATCTATGTCATTCTAAAATTCTCTTAATTTTATCAACCAAGCTTACTTGTGGTGCATAAGCACTAATTACATTAATTATCTGTCGTTCTAATAAAAGTTTAATTAATAGGAGCCTATCACTTATTCTGTAGACATTAATTACTTTATCTTTTAAATATGGTAAAAGTTTATATAGAGCTGAGGCTCTAAACAATCAAATTTGAGCCTACCTAAAAAATTTCACTAGAGGAGGTTGTTTTGACGAGTAAATATCTTCAAATTGATCATCTCGACATTAAGATGCATGGACATGAGAAAAAAATAGATTTCAAGTTTTGAAAATAGTGTATTTTGTAACGCATTTTTGGACCGTCAATTTTCAAGATTTTCAAGTTTTCATAGATCTGTCGATCTACACTATTTTTGAAGCTTTAAAATTTATAAATAAATATAAAAATATATTTTAAGGTTATCACAAAGATTTTCAGTATTGAAACCACATTTCTCGATACTATTTGAAGGTAGGCTCTAATTTGATTGTTTAGAGCCTAGGCTCTATACAAACCGCACCCTTTGAATATTTGTCTACTATTATGCCTATGTTATTTCTATTATTATCCTTTCTTATATAACAAAATTTGTACCAATCTATTTCTTTAGCTTTTTCTCCTTTCCATTTAGTTTTATGTAGACAGACTATGTTTGGTCTCCTTTGTCTTATTGTATCCACTAACACCATACTCTTACCCATAAATAAAATATGTATGAAAAATTATTTCTTTTTATATATTTATACTATATGAAATAATTTTTTTTAAATAGTTTATAAAAAATTATTTGATATAGTATAAAATATATCAAAAAAATTTTTATACAAATTTTTTTCATAGACCAGGACCTGAGTGAGGTCCACGTCAAGTCTGTTAAAATACAACGTAAATAGTGAAAGGAGAAAAAGCAAAAGAAAAGATAAAGAGATCAAGTGCTCAATGAGAGAGAAAATGAGGAAAGAAGAGGACGTTGATAGAGGAAGAAAGAGATAAGGTGACGCTAGGTGATACTGACCTCCAACAGCTCTCATATATTTATATCAGTTATAAAAACTTTACTTGTTGTAGAAGAATGTTCTTTTGTGGACTAAAAGACAGATAAGTTCTTAAGTTAAATATAATATAATGATGATTAAACCTTCAATAATCACTCTCACAACACTCCTCCACAACACTCTCCCTCAAGATGATGCATACATAGCAATCATGCCCAACTCTCTTAAGATAACTTGTAGTCGATGTTTACCAACAGCCTTTGTTAGAGTATTTGCCAGCTGATCCAAGTTAAATTTCTCTACTAGCAACTCTTGTTTGAATAAAATGTCAGTCTATTTCGATATGCTTGGTCCGATCATCTATCAATTGTACTATGAACCAAGCGCTTTACAATATAAACTCATTTGTAACCAACCTTATGTTTAACAATTGCGTAAAGGACTTATTTGGTTGTTGTTTTATGTTGATGATATGGAGATCACCGACAATGATTCTTTAGGCATCTGTGATACTAAACATCACCCGATGGAGTGTTTTGAAAAGGAAGACCTGAGCCTACTTCAATATTTTCTTGGTAATTAAAAGATTCTTTGGCTCATGGGTATGTTCTCTCCCATGTCAAGTGTGCACCATATATTCTGTAGAGGAATACTTCTAACAATTAAAATTGTTGATACTCTTATTAGATTGAATGTCAAGCTTCATCCTAAATATGGATAGTTGCTTTCTTATCCTACTCGATATTGACATGTTGGCGTTCTTAAATTATTCAACAATTACTCACCCTAATATTAGTCATTGTTGTTCATATGATTAGTCAATTTATGTAATTTCCCCACTCTGTTCACTTTGTCGTTGTGCTTCGAGTCATGTGCTATGTTTGAAGCACTATGTTTCACTGCTTACTTCTCTCTCTCCTATACGTTTGCTCTTGAACTTTGTGCTTATTGTAATGCAGATTAGGTAGGATATATTATTGATCGTCATTCTACTACTAGTTTCTTTATTTTCCTTGTGGATTAGGTAGGATATATTACTGATCGTCATTCTACTACTGGTTTCTTTATTTTTCTTGATGATTCTCTCATATCATGGAAAAATAATAAACAAGATGCAATTGCTCATTCTAGTGCAGAAGCTAATTACTAGGCTCTTACCCATACTACGATGGAAATTTTCTAGTTACAATGGCTTCTTTGATACATGGGCTTTGCTCACTCTAGTCCTATTGCACTTTTTTTTTTTTAACGACACGAGTGCAATTCGGATTGCTTATAATAATGTGTTCCATGAGTAGATGAAACATATCGAGATTGATTGCAACTTTGTTTGCTGTCATTATCTTCACGGTACTATTACTCGCTGCCCTTTGTTCTTTGAAGGAATAAGAAACTTATCTTCTCACAAAGGCTCACCCAACAGCTCGTTTTCGTTGTTTTTTATATAAACTTCACTTGCTCTCTCTTAAGGCATCTTGAGTTTCATATTCATGATCTCCATGTTAGAGATTACAATGTCTTAAGAATTAAGTCTTAAAATCCATCTTAAAAATATATTTATTAAGAGGCCCGCATTTCTACATATGCAGGCTTGGCCACCTAGAAACCGGGTCCCAAATTTATTCAACAAATATTTGTGAGAACATATAGATTTCATCAGTGTTTCTCTAGAAGCACTTGCTTTATAAGCCTCTCTAAGTTATTATAAGAGCTACCTCCAAATTGAACAGCATTTTTTGACATCTTTTTCCATTTCTTGGCCTTTAACTGCATCTCTTTACCCTTCTCTCCTTCCATCAACTCTCTCACCAATGTCTCCACCTCCTCCCTCTTAACATCATTGTTTATCTCCATCCCAAGGCCCCATTCCTTGCAAACGTACCTGCAATTTGTTTGTTGATCCGCAAAGAAGGGCCAACATATCATGGGCACGCCATTGCAAATGCTCTCAATTGTAGAATTCCACCCATTGTGAGTTAGGAAGCCACCAATTGCATGGTGTGACAGTACTTTCATCTGGTTACACCAACTCAAGATTAGCCCTCTTTCTTTAGTTGCTTTGACAAATGCTTTTTCTAATGCTGCCGATTCTTCAATTACGAGATCTTCGCGAATGATCCATATGAAAGGCCTTTGGCTATTTGCGAGACCCCAAGCAAACTCATTAAGTTGGCTGGGTGTTAAAACTGTCGTACTGCCGAAACTCACATACACAACCGACTTAGGTTGCTTGTCATTGAGCCATTCTTCACAAGCATCCTCTTTCCAAAGACTCATAGAAACCAACTGTAAATGGTCATTGGATTCACTTTGGCTAAAGCTTGCAAACGGGCCGATTGGGTAAATTGGGCAACGGATTCTTTCTCTCATGGCATCGAGAACAGGTTTCTCTAATTCTTCGAATGTGTTGAGAATGATAGCCTGAGATTTTAGAGAAAAAGGGCTTTCAACCACGCACATTTGTAACATGGGATCATTAAGATTGGTTGTCCTAATGAAGGAGGGTAAGTCCCTTAGACGGATATTTGGAAAGCCAGGTATCCAATCCACAACTGCATCTAGGTCGCCGTTGGTCATGAAATTCTCATCTGCATTCACCAATAACACAACATCTACCATATGAGATTTTTCTACGGGGGCCAATTTGGTCGGGACCGACTCAATGACCTAGGGGTTTGATCTGATCTGCATCTGAGTCCGCATCCAAGTTTTGGACCGGGTCCAAGTCCAAATCCCAGGATCTGAATCCGGGATAGGTTTGGGTCGAAATGAACCCCACCTTGACCAGACACAAACATATCTATATGCAAGACATACACATCTATTTATACATACAGCGTACATTACATAAAATGCATGTGTTTGATCTCAACATTTTTTTTTTGTAAAAAGTTTGGTCTCATGCCACCATATCATTGAAATATCTTGAAACCAGACTTCTAGAAGACCATGTTTGTGGCATTTATTTGACCCCAAATTTTGCACACCCACTCTTTTCATTCTAATAATCAAAATCACAAACAATAAAATTCAATTTGCACCATAATTATGGTCAAAATAAGGTCTCCCCAATAATAAATCAAAACCATCGATATGGTGAATTTCAAGATCTAGGGATTTAAGAATTCAAAATCTTTTTTTTTGTAATATTGTCAATCTAATAATGGTAAATCTTTCTAAACAAATTAGTATGAAAAATCCTTCATTCTAAGGCCAAGATCTAGTATCTCAATAAATCGATAGCCTATATTGGGCTAGAAAAAGTTTTTTAGGGAGTATCTTCAAATTTTGCTCTTATGGTTTTGTTCATTAGAATGAAAAGAGTGTATATTTAAAAATTGAAGTATAACAACTTGGTTTATATATATGTGTATGTATGTATTATTTTTTGAAATATATAAAACTTTGATGAACTTGCCCATATATGTGTGATATATGTGTATGTGTGTAGTAAATATTTGAACTGCATTTTTTGAATATTTTTTCAAAATTTGTTTGTTAGGTTCTAGACCTGTATGACCTTAGCCAAGTTGGATTCGAGTCCAAGTTTTGGACCTGATGGGTCACGTTCAGCTCCAAAAGCTTGGGCCTGAGTTGGGTCAAGTGGAGTCAAGGTTTAGGTCAACCCTGAACTGACCTGTTGCCACCCCTAGTTATCTACACTCTCTCTCACTACTTGGCATACCCTTTCCGCTTCTTTAAACAGTTGGATGGGTCGCCAGATTTGCTGGATCTGTTCAGAACGTTAAGAATTCCCCAAATATCGTAAAAATTTGAAACTGAAATGTGCTTCATCTAAATTTTTATTGTAAGAAATCATCATAACCAATTTTGATGCTTGCGTTTTCCATTTGAAACACTAAGTGGCGGTTTAGAACACTACCAAGATGAATCCATGCACCAAGAGTTTAACCTCCAAAAAGCTACGATGAATTTTTTGAACTTCTAGAAATAGAAAAAATGTAAAATTGTTTAGAGTGATTTCAGTATTGGCCCTAAAATATTTTCTAAAATACGAAATGATCCATCTATAGGTGGAAATTACAAAGAAAATTGGTCAACCCACATTTTTGTTTTCAAAATTGCCCGGAAATTACAAAGAAAATTGGTCAACCCACATTTTTTTTTTCAAAATTGCCCCTCAATCCGAGGACATCCTCTGACCGAATTTTAATTTTTTAGTCACTGCCCTATTAACGATTTTTTTTTTAAAAAAAATTAAAATTCGAATCGAGGATTCCATCATCAGACTAAAGGGCAATAAAAAAAATAAAAATAAAAAGGTCGACAAACCTTCTTTGATAATTCTACCTATAAATAGAGTATTTCGTATTTTAAAAAAAATTTAAGGTCCGTAAGTAAATCACTCAACTGTTTATGATCAAATGTGAGTCAATTTTATTATTTTAGTTTTTTGACAGTATCACAGAACTTTCACTAACATAGTGCCTCAAAGAACCAAGTTTAATTAAAATACTTAAAATGGGAATGGAGATGGTCCATGTAGGCTGGCGGATGCGTCAACATAATCTCCTGCCCTCTATTCCCACGGTTAATGTATGAAAATACATAAATAAATAAGTTCATCACCAGGCTCAAGCTACTCCATTAATTACCATTCCAAAAACAAAACATTTCAAAAGCATTATTCACTTTACACTTTTTCTAGCAAATAAGTCCAGAGTTCTTATTACCTCTCACCTCAAAAGGTTCATCCATGGGGCTCAAAAAATGTTTTTTTTTTTTTTTACCGTCAAAAGTGCAATGCCAAAACATGGGCTCGAAATGCCGCCCTTTTCTAAGAGAATAAGATGCCTCCCACATGCCATCTATGTCACATGCGTTGGATACATAAAAAAAAAATCACTAAAATCAATTTTAATCTTAAATTGGCATATTCAATTATAAAGAGAGTTATAGGAGAGTGGATTTGTTGAATCCATCTTCGCATACGGATTTCTATTAGATAACAATTTTTTTATTAATTACATTTTAATTATGTTATTCTCCAAGCTACTCTAAAATTATTATTAATCTTCGTTAATTAATTTTTTATGAATAAATATAATTCTAAAGAATTTAAAAAAACTTAAAACGTAAGAAAATATCAAATAAACTTCAGATTTGATGATAGTTATATTTATGACTAGTATTTTGAGGTAATTACTTTTCTAAACATTCTTTGCATATATAATTTGTATTTATGGTTAATTACTATTTTGTTTGTTATTTTTGTTTCATATTCAATTATATCATTTACTAAATAAAAATTGGGGAAACTAAAAATTTAAAAAAAGGAAATAATTATATTAGTAAACAAATCTTATTTATATGCAAATATTATTCTAAAACTTTAAAAAATAAAACTACATAAAACATGTCACACAATAAGTAACCCATAATAATCAAATATCTATTACAAAAAAAACTAAGAGTAATGGTGCAATATGTAAAACTTTAAATTATTTAATCACAAAGTCTCAGAACTAAGAAACATAAAAATTAATCAGTTAATATACAATGTATAAATATATCTAAGTGAAAAATATGAAAATTATAATGTAGTTCACATAATCTAAAAGGGTTATGTTAGGGTACTCACACTAATGAGTAATTTATCATTGTACTCAACAAATTTGGACACTTATGTAACTTTATTTTATACATGAAGGCTTTTTTTTAGTAGGAGTATTTGTAGTCATTATGAGGGGTGTGACGTCATCTACACGGAGCATGCTATCACTCACATAGAAATGCCACTAGTGTACTCAATGAGGGTGATGTCACACCCCACGTGGATGACATCACCACCCTCTTGATTACCAAAAATACCCTTATTAAAAAATACTCTATATATAAAAACAAAGGTAGAAGTGTCCAAAATTTATTGAGTACACCGATAAATTAGAACACCCTAACATAACCCCATCTACAAGTTATAAAGTTTTGTCCTGAAATAAAAATTAAAAAACAAGAAAGACACATAGTAGAGAGAGAGAGGGAGCCTCATGAGATAGGAAATGAAAAGCTCAGTCACATCCGTAGATTAGAAAGTGCTAACCTAATGAGAGAGCAAAGGGAATGTTGAATCATGTCTTTAGATGTGTATCCTACAAGTTTTGGTGTAATCTCAATGACACCAGTTCAACAATAGTGCACTAAAAATTCTTGCTTCACTATCTAGGTACTCTGGTATACCCAAACACAGAATTGAATGTAAAGTAAGATAACAAATAAGATGTATAGCCAAGAAAATTGTAACAGAAAAGACAAACCTGCCCATAATACATCACTCAACATGAGATTTGGCCATGGAATTGAACAAATAAAAACATGTAGGGAAAAGTTTTTATAGAGCCTAGGCTCTAAACAATCAAATTAGAGCCTCCCTCAAAATTTTCACTAGAAGAGGTTGTTTGATGCCCAATTGAAAAAAAGACTAATGTGATATTGTCGGTGGATATATATTTTTCTTCTTTTCACCCCCTTTTTCTTTTTGTTTCTTTTTTGTTTTTTGAACAAAGATCACTTACAAGTAGTCTTATTACAATAACTCTTTGCTTCAAGAAAAATAAAACTAGCAAATTTAAGATCTTAAAAACCTTGACGCCACTAAACCAATTTTCTTTAAACAAAGAAAATATCCACAATTCTTATGCTTGAAATATAAAGACAATATAATTAAATAATACAAGAAACAAAAAGAGAGTGCCGGAGATTACCTCAATCGGGCTTATTACCCCCACACCGAGTCACCACCATCTGATGACGCGGGATCAACGATCAACCGTCAATCTCAACCGAGAAAGTAAGTTTAGGCCAAACCCTCTAATGGAACAATGAACTCCTTTATTATAAATTTCAAGCCTTTAGGTGAATCCCCTAAGAACTTAGTTTGAGATAGATGCTTCTCGTTTCTACCACAACTCTATAGTCTAAAATCCCAATGAGAGATGAGAGATCATGAGAGAGTTGAGAGAACCACCATGATAGAGATATCAAAGATAATAGAGTGGGCATGCCCCTTTGGGTCTCTTGTATGTGTGTGTGTGTGTGTGAGAGAGAGAGAGAGAGAGAGAGAGAGAGAGAGAGACTTTCTTAAGAGAGAGAGAGATAAACTAAGTGGGGCGTGCCCCTTTTGTGGGATATGAGAGAGAAATGAGAATTAGGTGTAAGAGATAAGGTATTGAGATTTGGGTAGGGATCAATCTCTTTTTATAGTGCTTGAACAAGATTAAGGTTTTTTAGGGTTTTTTTTGGCTTACATCTTCTTGTGAGATTGAATATAGACTATTGATCTTGGGGGACTTGTGGGGTAAGTGATTTGAGCTCACTGTTGCATCAATAAAAATTAAATAAAATACTTCCATCCGTAGTATTGTGCTTACCAAAATTATGCACAAGCCTTCTCATGACTTCTAAAAATCCATTCAAAGATTCCTCAAGGCAAAGGCTTTGCAAAACATCACAAACTTTTTTCTTCAAGCCAAAGCTTGATCCAACAAAATTGGAAAGCTTCTTAGAGTGGGGCGTTCCACCCTAGGTGGCACTCATGGGCCCTTCCCACATTGAATGGTGGGCTCACATA